CTTCTCCTCCTTCTAGTTTTGAACAGTTTGATTGGATTTAGTCTGAGAGTCACAAGAACAGAGTAGATGTTATTAGCCTGGGACCCAGGAATCCTGCGAAAGTGACTCCAAGTGGTGTGTATGTGAGATGTGTGTGTGTGTGTGTGTGTGCAAGTGCGCACAGTATGAGTGGTTCTCTGAGAAGATGGCCCATAGTTTATTCAGTCTCCGGGATGGCCCCTGATCCCCTCTCTAGTTTACACTCCATTGCACTAGAGTGAACCCTTCAAGCAGAGCATTTACACCTTGTACCTGCACTGCTCCAGGTGTGGCTCACACTGTACACCTAGATTGCTCTGGGTGTGGCTATGAGAATACTTTCTTCCTTACAAAGCAATTTCTGCAGTTTTGGCTCAGGAGGAGGGTGAGAGGGATGGATGGGCCCTGGAAGAACTGACCTGACTTTGGACTTCAGCAGGTCCTGCAGGTGAAGCTGATTTCATCTTTTTGGGTGTGCTGGGTGGATACAGGGGCAGCCACCTGCGTCCCTCAGCGAAGGTCACAGCAGAGATCATCGTAGGGGTGCATCTGTGCAAGGCACGGTTCTCAGGTTTCACATACAGTATCTTATAACCCTCATAGCAATCCTGTGAAGTAGGTACAGCGTTAATGTCTGGGTGTTCACAGATGAGGAACCTGGTTGTAAAAGATGAATCTGCTCAGAGTCTCACATCTTGAAAGCAGTAGAGTTGATTTCCTAGGCTGCCTGTTCCAAGTTGGCTGTTTTTTGCCAAGTGTGAACTCCTGTCTGGTTACGTGCGGATACTGGCACAGGCGGCAGCCCTCCGCTGTGGTGCCCAGGACTGAGCTGCTGCAGGCTCACACACAGTTCCGCCTCTTCTCCTCATCCCTGGAGCGGCAGTTCCTTCAGTTTCAGCTCACAGATCTTGATCTCCATCTGCTCAACGTTCTCTCGTCCTCTGTTCTTTGGTTGCTGCTGATGGTGACTCTGAGCCCCCGGGGAGCTTTCCCTGAGCTCTGGCACCACTGGTCCCTGCCTGCTGGATTCCCCTGGAATGCCATGTCTTCTTCCTACATTGCTCATGCAGAGGGTCCCAGGATCCCCTCTACCACTGAGCAGGAAACCTGGGAGTCTCCCTTGCCTTTTCTTTCTTCTCTCCTCATGCAGGACATTACAGGTCTCAATAGCCTCACCTCAGAATGGTTTTGGAACCCATCTCACCTGTCCATCCGAATGCTCCTTCTTCCTAAGTGCCCTGTGTCTCTCCTGACCTGACAGCCCTCTGCTGGAATCCATCTCCTCAGCTCCATCCTTCCCATGAGTCCACCCACACACTTCCCTCCTCTGCAGGACCTTGTGAGCCTGCCACGTGCCAGGCACTGTGCTGAAACTTCTCACGCACTGCCTCTTCTCAGCAGTTGTCCAATAAGTTGCAAAGGCAGTACATCCCACATGACAGTGTAGGGTGCGAGCCCTGCCAGTCTGCCTTTGGCGAGCATGTCTCCATCTCTGCGGCATGTGGCTGGGCCAGGGGCCAGTGGTAGGCTGTGTGACAGGGCTTGCACCCACCTCTGCAAACCCATGCATCCCTGGGCAGCACCACACTGTTCTCTGCATGCACCAGGTGGTCTCCCGGCCCTGTTCCTTCCATCCAGAATGCCTGCCCCACCCCTAACCTCATGCACCATCCTTTGAGGCTGAGCCCTGGTATTGGTGAAGTGGTAACTATCCTAGGTTGGGCCAACTGCTGCTCCTCTGAACCCATTGGATCCCGTGTGAGAGTCTGTGTGTGTGTGTGTGTGTGTGTGTGTGTGTGTTCTTATTTCCACTCATAGGCCACCTGCAGCAGCCCTCCAGACTCAGCCCCAGATCTGTCCTTCATCCCCGGCACCTAGCACTGAGCCTGACCCAGGGGTTGTGCTCCCCACAATAGTTGTCTTCACCTGCCTTCTGTAAACCCCTCCTGTCTGTGTCTCCCCCTGTCTCGCATATGAGCACCCTGCAAGCAGCTGTTGTGTCATTCAGCTGGCTTTATGCAGCACCTGCTGGGCCCCAGTCCAGTGGCCCCTTGGAACTGTGTGCAGACAGGTGATGAGGAAAGTTATGTCCTTTGCCTTGACTACAGATGCAGGTTTCCCAGAATCACAGGGCGGCAATGTGACCAGTGTACTTCTGGGTTCTACATGTTCCCTGAGTGTTTGCCCTGCAGCTGCAGCCACGGTGGGACTGAGCCACAAGTGTGTGACAAGGAGACCAAGGCTTGCTTCTGTAAGGTAAGACATGCTGCAGTGCTGGGGACAAGTTCTTTGTGCTGAGTTAGCCTATCAAAGTGTGGGAAGTGGGACCGACCTGTAGTAGATTTCAATCACATGTGTAGCATTGTACAGATATTCTCTCGCTTCTTAGACCTAGAAGGGAAACCCTTTCATGCTCTGGACAGGCCACAGATCCCTTGAGGATCTGATCACAGGCGTAGGCCCTTTCCAGAAAAATCAATGCAAATGTTTAACTACAATGTCAAGAGGTTCATAGGTTCCCTAAAGCCTGTTTCTAGTCCCTGACCTCCGTATTTTCCTCTCTGCTCCAAGAGGTTCTGCCAGATATAAGTGGACTCCATTTCTAGCAGACTTTCCAGGTGGCATTCAGTGGGGTGAATTGGTCTCCCTTCTTTGGGAATCCTCTTAGTGCTGTTTGTCTACCTTCAAGATGCCATCTTTTAATGTTTGGTTAGCATTCCTGTTGGAACATCTTGTGTTGGTGTTTAATCTGTGCAGACAGCTACTTGTGACTTTGAATGATGTCTCCTTTTTCATGTTTTGTTTGAACAGGAAAATGTAGAAGGTGAACAATGTGACAGGTGTCATGAAGGGTCATTTCATTTCGACCCAGCCAATCCTAAAGGTTGTAGCGATTGCTTCTGTTTTGGAGTGACTCATCTTTGTACTGAAACAAAGGGTCTACACGTTAAGGTAATGCATAGAGTTAGTGTCTTGGGGGGTTTTGTTTAGTCTAACTTTGGAACGATAAGGAAATAAACTGGCACAGAACGCCATGGTACTTTTTGTATACTGAATGGTCAAAATGGCCGGTGTTGTTCTTCCTGTTCCGTGGCCTGCAATATTTTCCACGTAGATGTCCTCATGATTATGTCTTGACCGATCAGGTCTCCGATCAAATGTCACATGCCTCAGGGCCTCTGCTCACCACTCGGGCTAAAATAGCTCACCCTGATTGCTCGATGCTCTTCCCTTTGTTATCTCCACAACAGTGACCCCTCTCTGACATACCATACGTTTCATTTAAAAGTTATTTGTCATCCTCCACCGCTAGAACGTGAGCCCCTTGACACGTGTCCACTCCCAGAGCCTAGGACAGGTTCTGGGACCTAATAGTTGTCCCTTAAATACTTTTTAAATGAATGGAGTTGGTTGCTATGTTATTCAACTTTCTTTTACCATAACAAAATACTCAAAGTAATCAATTTACAAAAAGGAAAAGTTTATTTGGCTCATTTTGGAGGTTTCAGGCCATAGTTGGTTGGCTCCATTGCTTTGGAGACTGCGGTGAGGAGTTTATCATGGTGGGACTGTGTGACAGAGGAAAGATGCTCACCTGACAGTAGCTGGGACTCGAACAGGCGGAAGAGGGCAGGGCTGGGGTCCAGTATGCCGTCAGAGGCACACTCCAGCAACCTGATTTCTTTCCATTAGGCCCACCTCTCAGGGGTTGCTCCACATCCCACTCGTGATAAGCTGGGGGTTCGCTAACACGTGGGTCTTGTGGGACATTGAAGGCCACAGTTATTGCAGTTATTTCCCCCCTCAAAGAAAATCTGGTCCCTATTCTCACCACGTGGCTGACACCGAATGTTCAGGATGTTTCCCACTGAGAAATTCTCCAGTTTCCTCTTCAGATGCCTTACAGTTTGCTTCGGACCACTCTCTACCTAGAGGTCGTATCAGCCCACAGGTTGAGGGCTCAGGCCCACCGGACTACCCTGCTTCAAATGCCAGTGGCAAGTCCTGGACCTCTGGTAGTTCTAACCAGTGCGGCTATAAATCAAGAGTTCCCACCATTCCCTCTTCAGGGCTGGTACCTGCCTGTGCTGGCCAACAGAACCCAGGGAAGCACTTTACTTACCATTGCCCGTTTATTACAAAGGATCCAGATGAATAGCTGCTCAGGGTGATGTCCAGAGGGTCCCAACACAGGAGCTTCTGTCCCCATGGAGCTGGGCTGGGCCCCCCTCACATTCCCTCCCAGCACCCAGGAGCCCCCAACACAGCCTTATAAGGTTTTATGGAGATTAAATCATCAGTCATTGATACTTACCTGGATCCTGGGGCTGTCTTCCCTCTGCAGAGGTTGGGAGGGGCCTCCTTACCAGCTCCTTACCAGCCATTAACATATGCAATGACACTCATCACTTTGGAGATCCCATGATCTTAGAAGCTCTAGAGTCAGGAACTGGGAACTGAGGCTGAATATTAGAGCAAAAGTTGCTCCTAGCTATTTGGGAAGTTCCAAGAGATTCAGGGGCTCTGTGCTAGGAACTAGGAACAAAGACTAAATAGGTGTCTTCTGTAACAGTGTAAGATCACATCCTTCCCTTCTCTTTTCTTCTTCTTTCTGTTTGTCTTTCCTTCTCACCTATTTTACCACATTTTGGGGCTGCTTTTGAAATTTACTTTATAAAACTAAAACTTTTAAAAAATCTTCATTATTCCATGAACAGGTAGCCTCATGCCTGCTTTCTTTGTGTGAGTAATGTCCTAGATCCAACAAGTATTCAAAGGAAGATTATTTTATATATTTTACTGCCTGTCCCTTAAAAGGAGAGCAGACTGGAAATTGGAAAGAAAATTAGTTTATAAATCTACTCTGAAGCCTCCTCTCTGTACCCCTCAGGGAACCAGGAAGCATTATTCCTAAACTATGCTTTGTCATTTCTTTTCTTCCCTCAAATGGAAAGGGCTTCTTTTGTGACCAGGGACATATTTAACTTTGATGCTCCATGTAGAGAAAAATAATGACAGCAGGCCACTGTATTACACATCAATTTTTTCTCTGTAGGGAGCTCACTTTTTAAATGTGCCTACCATTCTATTTATTATTCATGCACTCGTTTATTGTTCACACCTTTGTTGAACAACTACTAAATGTCACAAACAGGTTGAGTGCAGGGGCAGGAAGGTAAATCTCACATATGTCTTGTCACTGCCTCTGAAAACCCCTGGTCACCTTGGGTGAGAGGAGGGCATTTGTGGGCAAGGCCTGGGTCATGGTGGGCCAGGGAGGGAGGGAGGGGAGGCTCAAGGGTAGACACGCTGGGCTGGGGGTGTAGCCCAGTGGTAGAGCACATGCTTTGCATGCTGGAGGCCCTGGGTTCAATCTTAATGCCGCCCCCCACAAGACACACATAAAAGAAGCCTTTGAAGCTAGCCGCTACTCCATGGGCCTTTCCATGATGTGTGATGCTGCCATCACCCAAAATCCTTAAGCACATATTTCCCATGCCATGCTTCTGTCTCCAGTTTAGGGATATGAATGGCTGGCACCTGGAGACGGCAGATGGTGTCAACATCTCTGTCGCCTACAACCCAAGCAGCCAAAGTGTGGTTGCAGATCTCCAAGAGCTGCCCTCAACAGTCCACAATGTGTCCTGGGTCGCACCTCCATCCTTCCTGGGGGACAAGGTAACAGCAGCCTATTGTTCTTGTGAGCCCTTTCTGGGCCTCCTCTGTCACTGCAGGAGCAACATCGTCAGGGGCTCTGGAAGCAAGCATCAGGAAGATGTTTAGGAAATGAAGTTCAAGCTGAGCACAGTGGCACATACCTGCAACCCCAGCTACTCAGGAGACTGACACAGGAAAATTACAAGTTGCCAGCCTGGGTAACTTAGTGAGACCCTGTCTCATAATGAAAAAATAAAAAGAGCTGGAGTGTAGCTCAGTGGAGGAGCACTTGTCTAGCATCCACAGGCCCTGGGTTCAATGCTCTGCATTGGAAAAAAAGAAAAGAAAAAGAAATGAGATTAACTACTAATGAAGAGGACACCCTGCCTACCTCTGGTCAGGGACTGAGTTAGCACTTCATGTGCCCCAAATGCACAAGCCACCTGGCAAAAGAAACCATGCACAATGTTTTTCTAGATTTTTAGACTGCCAAAGAATTTTCCTCCAGGAAAATATAGAGCCATTTAAATAATATCTGTCACAAATGGGACAAGTATGCTTTTAAATGACAAAGCTGAGAATTCTTTGTTTCAAAGCAGAAGAAAGGCTCCTTGTCAGGAAAACAAAAAGTAGAAAGTGACTCATGAGCTTATTAAAGAAGCGCAGGATCTGTGGCAGTTGCGCTTTCATGAGCAGAATCACGTGTATTTACTTACACGCTCCTCAGGGAGCTAATAAATGAGTTGCTCTTCCTTTGCCGCTTAAATTATTATTCAAGATCCCAGCCAAGTCTGCTCACTTTATGAGGACAGAAACGCAGGCCTTGTGTGGAAACACCATGAGGTGACACATGCTCAAGGCTTGGCAGGGTAGAGGCTTTGAGAAGGGGTGGCTTTCACAGGGACTTATTCGGGAGATGCCATAGTCTCACACTGAGCATGACTTTGAGGGTCTTACTGGCTCGAGGTCTTTAGTTCTGACTTCCAGTTGAAGGCCTGTGAGTTTTGATATCTGAGTGTAGAGAATGTTGGCTTTGTCCTATGACCCAGCTTTTCCTCACTTCATATTCCTCTTCATGTGCTGGTTACCTGTTACCTGTTACAAATTTCCCCCAATACTTTGCACTGCAGGCAACAATTGTGCTGCACAGTTTCTGTGGGTCAAATGGCCCAGAGTCTCTTCTGAGGTTGTGGTCAAAGTGTCAGGCAGAGCTGTGGTCATCTGGGACTGGAGAATCTGCTTCCAAATTCATTCACGTGGTTGTTAGCAGACTTCTGTTCCTTGCATGCAGTTGGCTGGAGACTTCAGATCCTCCACCTGAGATCCTTCCTTGGCTACCTAAGGGTCCTCGTGACATGGTAGCTGAGCTCCCCCAAAGCAACCGATGAGAGAGACAGAGAGAAGAGAGAATGAACAGAAGAACTGAAGACAGAAGCTGCAGTCTTTTTATAACCTAATTTTGGAAATGACATACTCTCACTTCTGCTTTATTCTGTTCATTAGAAGTGTCCCTAAGTCCAGCCCACATTCAAGGGGAGGAGAATTAAGCTTCACTTTCTATAGAAGGGAATGTCAAGGAATTTGTGAGCATATTTTTTAAAAAGGCAATATTTACTTGGATAAGATGATTCAAGAAGTTCAGACCCTGAAAACACAGCCCTGTGAGACTTTGTTAGTTTGCAGATCCCAGGAGGAGTTTCTGTTGACTGGGACCCCAGACAAGCAGCTATTTCTTCACTACCTCAAGTCACTTGTATTTTCCTGGAAGAAAATTTTGTTCTGTCTAAGCTGAAGTCATGATGCTTCGACTTCCATCCTTTGCTACTCCTTTCTTCTTGACTGGTTTCTACATCAAGTGTGGGAGGGATCAGGAACAGAGGTGAAGTAGCTGTCAGAAAACTATGGCCATTCACCACCATGTCACCACCATGATCGTGTGCTCAGCCAGCACTGAGAGATGGTCTGCATCCCTATTGGAGGAGTTATTCATGGTTTTGATACTCAATAAAAGTCAATGGAATAGTCCCCATCTTCTCTCAGGAGAATTTTTTTTTAAATTTTATTTTTAGTTTTGCTTTGTGATTGCTAGATATAACCCAATAGCCTCTGTTTAAATAAGAAACCAATGGCCTAAATTTCCTAGAATTTCTATGGATTAAATAAATTTGTGGGATCTTGTGTGTGTCAGTATGACTAATATTTTTCTTTTAAACGTATCTTTTTCTTGTAAAAATCCATCATGTTTATGCTAAACATTATAAATGATGTAAATATGGTGTAAAGTAGATTAAAGTACCCTCTCAACCCCACTCTATGGATCTCATCCTGGTCCCCAGACTGTCTGTGTATCTTTCTAGAAGTAATGGGTCTAGATACTTTTTTATGTGGGCTAACGTTGGCATAGTCTCTTTTAATGCTTGTGTTCTTGGTGCTGTTGATTCCATTTTAGGTTACCTCATATAGTGGCTACCTCACTTACCAAATCAAATCCTTTGGCTTACCTGAGGACATGGTTCTTCTGGAAAAGGCGCCGGACGTGCAGCTCACCGTAGGTATCAGGACAGAACCAAAGTAGCAACAAGTAGCCATTACAGTTGGTGTTGCGCTGCATTAGGGCCATCTTAGTAAGTGGGCTCCACACAGTTTGGATTAAATTATTTCCAATGTTTGGAAGAATCTGGAAAGGAAGTTTAGAGCACAAAACATCTGTTCAAGACCCTGCTTCCTCTGACCAAATGCTTTTTCTCTTCTCCCCTCCCTAAATACTGAACTGCAGGTGGCCCTTGCTGCTCATGAGTCACTGCCTCCTGTTTTATGTTTCTGACTTTCAATTCAGTCTCATAAATGTTTTTAAGCCCTTCCTATGTGTGAGGCCACATTTCTGGGCTCTGTAAAGAACAGGTGACTTCTGTTCTGCAAAATGGGAGACTGGAGAAATGAGCAAATGTGTCTATCCACTGAGCAGCAGGGGGCTGGGAAGACAAGTAGGCAGGGCGAGTGGAGTTGGGTGAGTGGGAGTTGTGCAGCCCACGAGGCCCTCAGAAGGCTGGGGGTTGTGGAGGAACCCTTAAGAATGGGCACAGAGGGAGAGATGGCCATCTTTTCCAGAACTCAGGGAAACCCAGGCTCACGGCAGTGCAGGGCAGGCGGTTGTGGCCAAGGGCTGGACCATTCAACTCAGCTGGACGTCAGTGTGCTGAGTCATGGCTCAAGAGCCTGGGAGGGTGGAGAGGAGGATGTCAGATGCTGTGCTGTGGGTTTAACTTGATATGAATAGCATGGGGGCACTTTTTTGAGGAGTAATATCTGTACACTGGGTGCCTGGAAGTGAGTCCCGGCTGCAATCTTGAACATTGCTTGAGGCAGACATGACAGCATATCCCACTTTGTATATGTGCTGCCGAAGCAAGCATAGCACATCCCACTTTGAATTGCTACCATGTAAGGCACAATCCCTGGAATGCAGGATGTAGTGCCATCTCCTGAAGGTGGCTTTATTTCTGGTTTATGTGCCATGATGAATGCAATGGGCCTCCAGCTTCCTGAAGGGTTTTCTCGTATCATTCACTGTACCCAGGGACCAGCTAGTCTCCTGTACCTTGTCACAGCCGAGGGCTTCCCACACTTTGCGATCAGGCAGTGCTGTGCTGTGCTGTTTTTACCTGCGTACAAATCTACCGAATTGTTTTAAAACTCCAAGGAACCTTTGCAGGGCATCTTGAAAATAAAGCGCTAGCATTAATAGTCTAGAAATATAGCTGGGCAGTAAAAATACTGCCTCAGCAGCACTGCTTTTGAGTTTCATGTTTTTGCAGAGCATCTCATGTCAGTGTGCTTATTTTCTACTGCTGAGGAGTTTATTATGCAAACTATTGAAACTTGGTGAGAGATAATGACTGAAATTCCTCCTTAATTTTACCTTCAAACATAGAAAATAATTGAGGCTCATGAAACATTTACTGTGCTGCTTTGTTCTAAGCCACTGTAATTAAGAGCCTTGGGGCATGTTTCTCAGATTAAGGTTTTAAATGATTTGTGATTCCAGATAATGCTCTGCTGTCTTCAAGCCCAGCCCTCACCAGTGGAACTGCTGCAGGAAAACTGCACTGTTGTGTGTGTGCTTGTGGTGGGGCTGCTGGTGGAGGGCATGGACCATCCTACTCTGTCCCATCCAAAGCCACCCTGGGTCCCCTCAAGCTGAAGAGCAGGAGTGAGCAAGGCCAGATCCCTCAGGGAAGGGCTTGGAGCTAACTCCTCCCTCCCCAGAGGGTTCTGGGAATCCCCGCTCCGAAACTGCCCAGCTGTGCTCTGCTAACCCTTCTGCCCTCTCTAGCTACCCACCCACCAAAGCACTTCTAGTTAGCACAGTCTGGCCCTGTAGGCAGTAATGAAAACAGCACTTCTTGCATTTACTACATTTACTTAAAAATTTTTCCATCTTTTTAGACACTTTCAGTCAAGGCAATTTTCCTGGCTATTTGTGAAAATACACCGTATTAGCTGTTATTCTATTTCCATGTCACTAATCCTTTTACTAGTCAGTTAATTCTGAAGTATGTTTTAAAGACAGGTGTTTCATATAATGTAGATCCATAGAAATTTGTTCTCAGATCAGTTATAAACCTCAAAGCATCCCAACTGAGGTGCTGATGTATTCACATTCTTCTCTAAACAGGGTCAACACCTCTCCATCGTGCATGAGAACCCTAATAACCCACAGCCAGACCAGCACCATAAGGTGGAATTGCAGTTGATAGAGGTAAGGGCAAGGCACCCATAAATGGTGCTTGATGAACCTTTTTGGTCTATGTTTTAATTATTTCAGATAATCATTTCTGACTTACTTTAAGAATTTTAAAATATAAATTACATTTGTGTAGACACAAGTTTATCTGTAGATAGACAGATTTAAGATGATAACAAATTATGTGAAATATAATGCTTGATATTCACGTGGCCTTATACCACCTTTATGGCACTTCGACACCATCCTTCCTGTTTCACAGTTGCTTTTGTCTTGTAAACCCCTTGAAGTTATAAATGCTCCTTTCATCAAACCACCCCCAGTGCCTTGGCCTTGGTCAGTGTCCAACCCCTTCTTGGCATGGATGGGTAGAAGAGTAATGAAAATGTCTTACATCAAAAGAAAAGTAATATAGCTAAGCAGAGGAACACTCACTGGGTCATGAAACATCTTATCATGCTTATTTGATTACTATTCCTTAAAAATAGTGTTCTGTTTGTACAACTCAATATATCCTATACCTCAAGGTTAAAGAATTTCCAAAAATTCTCTCCTCCATAAAAGCATTAAGAAAACTGGCAAAATGGTCAGAATTAGCATTTTCAGGACTCTGGGCTTGCAATCGTCTGGGAAGTGTTTCTTCCAGACAAACTAGCTGACTCTGTAAGAACACTGAGCTTTGTGGCATTCATCTTGCCCTGTCACATCTTGCCCCTCCTCTCTCCAGTTCCACAGGAATCTTCAGTGAGATTGGAGCGCCTTTCACACCTCCTAGAGAACTGTCATAACTGGGCCTGTCTGGGTGTGTTTTGGAAGATCTTACTTGCAAGGTTGTTTTTATTTGACCTGATTGGAATCTTTTCCCTGGGAGTGTTGCTGAAAACATTTAGAGACAGTTGTTTAATTTCATGACTTCCTAAAATAGCTAGGGCAACCAATAAGGCAATCACAAATCTTAAAGTAAAAAGGCTGGGGAATGAGATCTCCAGGGGGGCTTTGAAAAGGACCAACATAATCTTGAGGATTATGGCTACACATGCTGAAAACTACCACACACCAGGCTTGTGCACATGCTGAGGATAGATCTGAGAAAGCCCTTCACTCTCACCTCTGGCTGACCTTGAGGCTTGATGCAGGAAATGAAGGCTAAGGCAGAGTTGTCAACTACATGACAGAATTAAAGGGGTTAGGCCTCAAGATGTTAAAACACAAATTAAATTTATATAAATATTATCATATTTCATTTTATCAATAGCTACTATTGACTGTCTACTACATGCCATGCACTGTGCTGAATATTTTATATACATCATATATTATATATACATTATTATATATATGTTTAATTTATTTTAATTTTCATGATAGCCTTGAGAGATTAGGTATAACTATGCCCATTTAAGAGATGCAGAAGCTGAGTTCAAAGGAGACAAAAGAATATAATGGTTAAAAATGCAGGCTTTGACATGAAAAGATGATCAACATCAGTAATCGGTAGAAAATTGCAAATCAAAGCCATAATGAGATAACACCTCACACATATTAGAATGGTTACTATTTTTAAAAAGTGTTGGCAAGGATGTGGAGAAATTAGGACCCCTTTGCACTGTCAGTGGGAACATAAAGTGATGCATCTGCTGTGAAAAATAGTTTAGAACTATTAAAATAGAACTAGCATATGATGTAGCAATGCATCTAAAAGAAAGAACTGTGAATGTGATCTGGAAGAGCTATTTGGTCACCTGTGTTCATTGCAGCATTACTCAAATAGTTGAGCGATGGTAGCTAGAGGTCCATGGACAGATGAAAAGGTAAAGGAAAGGGGGTGTGTACTTACAGGGGAACATTATTCCAGCCTTACATACAAAGGGAACCCTGCCCCATGGATGAACCTTCAGGACAGTATGCTGAGTGAAATAAGCCAGTCACAAAAAGACAAATAGTATGATTCCACTGTTGTGAAATAGCTCAAATATTCAAACTCTTAGAAAGTGGAATAGTGGTTGCCAGTGGGTAGAGGGAGGGAGGAAGGGAAGTTACTGTTTAGTGGATCTAGAGTTTCCATTTTGCAAGATGAATAAGTTCTAGAGATCTTTTGTGCAACAGCATTTATAGCTTTTAATACTCTACTGTATATCATTACATGGATAAGATGGTAAGTTTTATGCTGTGTGCTTTTACCACAATAAAAATTTAAAATTAAATGAGTGTATGTGTGCAAGGAAAGATTGTGCTCCTGTCACAATTCTGTATATGTAATGAATGCTGCACGACTCTGTTGACTCCCATATCTCTTCCCTCCCTTTATCTTTCCCAGTCCCTTCATATTTCTCCAGATAGAAGTCACTTTAAAATAAATAAGATATTGGGGCATTTTGTTTCATTTTATTGCTGTTTATTTTGGGGCTTTCTTTTCTGCCTTCTCCTGGCACTCTCCCTTCCTGGGAATAACCCAGGGCATCTGACTTCGGAGTGTAAATGTCCCAGGAGGGACTTCCCCCATCTTACTTCGATTTTTCCTTGTGCCTCTGCAATGTCTTCTCTTTGGCTTGTCCTGGGAGTGTCAGCCTCTGAACTCCCTGGATTTGAACTTGGGAGGTCACTAATGGAACTAAGGGAGCCCCTGCCACTCTGCTTGCCTTCACAGGGAAACTTCAGGCATGTTGGCAGTGGTGCCCCGGTGTCCAGGGAAGAGCTCATGGTCCTGCTGTCTGGGCTGGAGAGGCTGAGTATCCGAGGCCTCTACTTCACAGAGACACAGCGGCTCACCCTGAGCTGGGTGGGGCTGGATGTGCTCAGCCACGAAGGATCTGAGCCAGCACCTCTCGTGGAGAAGTGTACCTGTCCGCCAGGCTACATGGGTGACTCTTGTCAGGTAGGCACTCTTCCCATCCCAGAGGCAACATCTGTGGCTGGTTCAACACCATGGGGCACCACGGGGCCCTCTGTCCATCATGCAGGCTTCTGCTGGGCTAGTGCTTCTATCTTACCTAGACTCCCTTCAGGGATTAAATATGAAAAGGCATCACCAGTGTCTTACTATGACAGTCATATGAACTCATGGCAGTCATAGGAAACCACAAGAACCCAAAGATACTGCGTACTGGAGGCTGATCAGACCTCCAATCACCTGACCAAGGGTACAGCGGCAGGATAACAAAAGGCAAAACAAGATCTTTACTGCATATGTGGGGGCCCAGGGTGGTCAGAGCTCTTATCAGGCTAGGACGCTACCTCCTGGAGCTGCCACTATTTACTGAACATACAACTTCTAGGAAGGGTGAGGGGCGGTGCAGGGAACAGTGGAGTGAGAGCACTGAGGGGAGCAGGGTCCTAGCAACAAGGGCACAAGACATTCTAGAAGGAACAGATCACTGATTAATGGGAAATCTGTTTTTTCCTGTAAATTAATTTCTGCCTCTATAGAAGTTTTGTGTATGAGTCACACTGCCCTTAGCTGCACTACTGTCTTGACATCCAAGACCTCACAGTGTCACGGATCATTGAGACCTCCGCTGTGACCAGTGGTGTGGGGAGTTGTTTCTTCCCCACACACCAACTGCTGCCTCCCCAGGCAGCTACTGTGGGCTAACAGGCAGGCTCCGGCTTTTAATATTGGAAACCAGTTTATGAATTTGTAGCTTGCTCAGGGTGGTCTCCATCAACTAGGGGCTGTAGAAATCACAAGGAAGAATTTCTGGAGCACGCAGGCCAGTGTCCCAGGGTTGGAGCCCCTGTGTGCTCACCTGGGGTTCTCCTGCCTCTCTATAATCCAGGCCCCCTCCAGCCTTCTCCCCAGTTCCCACCAGAGCTGAACTCCGGGGACTTTCCTGGATTCTGCCAGGGAAAATCACACTCCAGTTTTCTAGCTCTCGGTGGATCCTCATTGTTTAAAGTCCAGTTGACCAGAGACACCTTGGGTTTATCAGAATGTGCCACATAATGAAATTGTGTAATATCTCAGGCTATAACTATGTTCTTTTCCTGGTGAAGGGAGCATAACGTTAGTATGATTAGTAGGAAATAGCAAACCTTGTCATTCTGCGTATTTCATAGAACCAATGTCCACAGACTTATCAAACGCACCACCATCCTGGGTCTTGATAGCAGATACCCCAAGGCCATGTGCACAGGAGAGTTTTCACTTTTTAAGCTCGCAGTGCCTCTTCTGCCATGGTGTCTTGGGGACTTCTGTCTTGTGAAATTTAGCCATAGGTTGCCTGTGTTCAGGCCCCTGCCCTCCATCTCTTCTCTGCTAGCCTGATTAAAATAGCCCAAGGGAAAGAGAGGACTGTGGATCACCACCCTCATGCCCAAGGCATGTTCTTTGTGGTGACTCAGCCTGTGATTTATGGCTGCTCTAATCGTCTAGAGCCGTCTGCGAGGCGGCGAGGTGGGTAAAAGGCAACGTCTGCCCCACCTCTCAAGAATTACAGAGCGGTGCGCTTACCTGCAGGACTGTTATGTGCGTTCCGCTCCAGCACAGGCTGACTCATGTGTGAAGTTTAAAGGTGGGGCCCCCTGCCGCAGACGGCCTTGCTTACCTGAGTCAGGCAGGCCCAGGCACTGAGCAGGAAGGGCAGGTATAAGAGGAAGAGAGACACAGAGCTTCCGCATGCAGCCAGCAGGACACAGCTGCAGGGGACCAGGATGCCTCCCGTAGCCCGGCGGGCTGCCCAGGGTGCAGGATGGCTGTGGATCTTCGGGGTGGTCCTCGGGGAGTGTCTGGGGTACAGTTCACAGCAGCAGCAGCAGAGAGTAGCATTTCCTCAGCCTCCAAGTCAAAGTCAGCTGCAAGCAAGTTTTGTGGAGTTGAGACCCAACCAGGAGGTAAAGTCTCTTAAATTTTGGCTTGGGATGGGGAAAGGTCCTCAGCTTGGTGACATTTTAAGTTAGGGTGATTAAGGAGTAAATGGGTGGGTGGGGGGAGGGCCGGTGGCCTCCCATGGCGTTGACTGACGTGTTTAGTACAGTCCCTGACAGATCGCTCTAGGGAGCTATTTAACCGCAAACCCCATAAACATCAGCCCACCTGGAAATGCCGAGACAGTTAAGAGCTTGACTGCTTGTGGGATGTTAATAAACTATGAAACTCCATGCCCTTTTGAGTAACTCAAGCCTCAGGACAAAAGAATCCATGGCCTGTAGGTTTCCAAATTCTGCTCAGAAAATTTGCCCATAAAATAAAACACGGGAGAGAAAAAAAAATCCATGCCTGAGAAAAGTGATCAAAGTTTGCGTATCTAACAGACATGCTTCGATTTGCCACATAACAAACTCTGCTCTTTCTGTAAACTTCCTGGATGTTTTCGTGTGTGCTTATGGAGAAATAGATCCTCTGGCTGCTGAAATAGTCCTAGAATCTGGGCGAGAGCATAATCTTACCATTTAGGGTATAAAAGTCTACTGGGAAACATCCTGGGAAATTATCACTTTCTGAAACTTGACTAGTTACAAAACCTCTCTACAGAAATAACATATTAGGATGCATTCATTTTAATTTAGAGTAATTCTTCAATATAATGTAAATATTTGAACTGCATTTTGAGTAAAATATGTTTGCTTATTTTATAAAGTTGGCGAAATAATTATATTTCAGTGCTAACAAATGTTTAAGAGTCACATGATATAGCTCTTGAGTGTTTCTCAGCATTAAATCAAAAGAAATTAAGGTGGATGATTTAATTTTCATCCTGATAGACCATCCTTCCCCAAAGCATGTTTAATTAAGGTTTTCCACTCAAACACCTTGTCATAAACTAATCAGATCTATTTATTGATTTGAGTAACTTGTCCTTTACCAAAATAATTATTTTGTAAGCATGTAATGTGGATACAAGGTGAATAGTGGAGCTTGCTTGTTGATGTGATCACATCATAGCTGGCTGAATCTCTCAGATCTAGCAGTTATGCTATCAGGAAAAGAACATTCCTTCCCTACTTTGATCTGCTTAAGGCAAGCCTAGCCATAGAAGATGTAATCTAATTTTTTAGCTTAAAGGAACATTATATTGGAAATTATGGTCTGTTTTTATGGATGATCAGTGCTCCTGATAGCAACTGGGAGTTTCCTCCCGGAGGAGCTCATGACTCATCTGGCTCCAGTGGTTTCTTCTTCTCTTCCACTTGACCAAATGGAGACTTTTCTGGCCATGGATGAATAAGAATGGACCATTCATTAAGATTTCCATTGGCTGAGTTTCAGAGTCTAATAGATGTATGTGCTGTTTAAAGAGAATTAGATAAATGACCATTCTTTTTCTTGAGGTATTAATTTTTTTATCTGATGTCTTAATGTTAGGGCATATATGGGATCAGTGAAACAAAGTAGGGGCAATGTCTGTTTTTAATCTGTGCACTGATTACCTCTGCCAAAACTCTACAGACAGACACCTGAAGGATTTTTAACAGCTTCTATAAGACTCATAAATTTTTTTTCAAGATATTGGAGGTATTCTTTACTAGAATCCATTAAAAAAGATATCAGTTCATGAAAAGAAAACTATAATTCCTTTCATCCAGATGAAAAACAGTAACGTGTATTGTTGCCTAGAAGGAGACAATATACTGAAAATGGAAATGATCAAAGCAATAGTGAAGCAGGAGATTCTCAGGCTGCTTCTCGGTGTGTTCAACACGGACCAAACACTGGTGAACAGTTCTGTACAGCACCCCAAGCACCTCGTTCCACCTCTGTTGCTCACAGACTAGTGAGTGGCAGTAAAGTGACGCCCAGTAATTCTGCTATTCTTGTGCAGATCCTGATGAATACTCTTTACCTGACCCCCAGTCTTCCTCTTGTACTGCTCTTTCTATCAGCCCAAACCCATACTCTGAGAGGGTCCAGCTGTGTAGAGAACTTGAGCTGCAGGTGGTTTGTCTGGGTAGCCTCCCTACTAATGACTGGGGCTGGATCCTCTTTACTTGTTCATCTGTCCACCCCCTCCACCCACCCTCAAAACAACTGATATGAGGAGAGGTCCTCTTACCCCACACCTGTGCTCTCTCTCATTGCCCCACTCCACACCTCATATTCCCACCAGGAAGTGGAAACAGAGTGCAACCTGACAAAAAGAATAAAAGCACATGGCTGAAATTAGAAACCCACACACTGACTGAAGGAGAGAAGACAGACAAGTGAATGCTTCACAGTCAAAATTGTCACATGCTTCCGGAGAGCGAATGGTCTCTTCCTTTGTATTGATTAAGCACTTTGTTTTGAAAAATAGAGTTGCAGCCCTGGATACTATCGGGATTACAGAGGCTTGTATACTGGACTGTGCATTCCCTGCAATTGCCACGGACATTCAAATCGATGCCAGGATGGTTCCGGAATCTGTATTGTGAGTAAATTGATAGTTTGATGTTATCATCAATCTGTTTCTCTTCCCCAGCCCTTTGCCCCAAGACAGTAATGTCCCGTCTCCCAAAAACCCTAAGTAGAGGGCTAGGAGGCCCCAGCACCATCAGGCCGAATCATGTGTATTATGTCACACGTTTTCCTATTCTAGCACGCACCGTCCGAAAAGAACACCTGTCTGAACAATGATACACCACCTTAGCTTCTACATCTGTGCCTCATTAAATGATATTTATAGGTGATCATGGGGTTTAACTCTTGTCAGGTTATGATAAGTCACAGCCATTTCTTTGAGCCCCAGTTTTATTGGGATGGTAAGAGGTTGCAGGATGGGGGGCTCACTGCTACCAGGTGATCAGTGACAAAAATAACAAAAGAAAATAACCCCAAGGAAGAGGGGATGCTGAGAAGGGCTACTTCTTGCGCGCAGTCAAACACACAAAGCCTGTGTCACTGCCAAGACAAAGCAGGGGTACAGGAGAGGAGTAGGGTTCCTGGGGGAATGGAGGGACCCCCCACTTCCCCTTCCTCACGGCGTCTGCGGGCTGCCTGTACCTTGTCTTAACTCTCAAGACCTCAGGGCAGTCGTGGATGTCTGTAGCTTATCTGCTGGAAAATTATCTGACTTTTGGAATATTTGATAACATTCTTCTGCTTAACATTAGTTTCTTAGAAATTTTTCTACTGCATCTTGCAGCAGAACTTTTTTTAAAATTCTGCTTCCTTTTTCCCTTTGAGCAGAGTTCTTCTCCCTGAGAGCCACGGCCTCTCCAGTCCGGAGCTCCCAGGAATCCAGGGCCCTGTTGTGTTGCGCTCCTTTGGAAATACGCTTTGCTGTGTGGGCTTCCTGTGCATTGCATAAAGCAACCAGTGTTTCACCTACTTGAGTTCCTAGACTATCTGAGCCAAGTCAGCCTGTCCTGGGGATCTGTTTCCTCTGCAAGATGGGACAGGCCAGAACAGGAGACTGCTGTAAAGGGCTGCCTGATAGAATATTTTGTTGAATTATAACCTTATAAGTTCAACAAGAATAAAAGATATTAAGAGAGATTGTTTTCCAGCTCCTAAGCATTCCTATATAACAGTTAATGTTTACTATTGTGTTCAAAAGAATAAAAAAAAAAAAAAAGAAAAACATCGTTTCCCAGCTCCTAAGTATTCCTGTGCAACAGTTTGTTTGCTACTGTATGTTGTGTGCATCACAAGTGAATGCTTTAATTAAAAATAAATATTTTATCACTGAACCATTGCCAGATGTGGAGTTCACCTTATAAAAGCTGGCAAGGAACGAAGGGCATTTCCTCTATAGTCCATTATTCACCTCATGAAAGGGTAACTTGCGAGAGTCATAATTCATATTTAAATCTAAGACTTTTCCCCACTCCCTTTCTTTATGTCTTTGTCTTCATTCGTCTTTCATGGCCACGTACAAGTCCTTACCATGAGGTGCTACTGGGGCAGGTACTCAGCTGGGTTTTAAAAGCATCACATGCCAACCCCCCTCATAAGAGGCTTGCTGTCCAGGACAGGATGTGCTTGTATGTACGCACATGCACACACATTAGTGTTCACATGTACATGCACAACCATACGTGCACACACGAAGCCCATGTCTGCACTCAGCAAACTGCTCAGTGCATGCGTTGAGTTCTGATGCAGCTCTGAAGTGTGCCCTTTCCATGAAAGCCCAAGAGGCCACTTTTATTCTCAACCAGCCAGTGGTGATGGGGACTCCAAGTCCCTTTGACTGTCAAAGGGACTTTTAGGCTGCACCTCTCAAGGCCCAGTATAGATTTCTAAAATCAAAGGCCTTCACACGTGTACAAATCTCCATGTCACTTCAAGAATAAACTTTGAAATTTGAACAGTGGGCCAGTTCCTTGCCTACAGCATTGTATGTCCAGTCAGAGGAGGGTGTGCCAGGTGATCCCTTATTCAGATGCCACTGGCCAGAGGGCCCTGCGTGATGGGCTCCTTTCTCCACAAAGCCCCTGCGGCTCCCTCTTCTCCTGGCCCCGGTCTCCTCTCTCTTTGTATTTTCTCCTCTCTTCCCAGATCCCGTGCCTTCTACCATCTGTCACTTTTACCACAATGGCTGATTTTCCTCTTCCCACACCCCTTCCCTTTTTCTGTCTTCTTTCCTTTTGGTTTTTTGAGACAGGATCTTGCTCTGTATTCCAGGCTGGCCTCAACTCACAGTGATCCTCCTGTCTCATCCTGCCTCAGACCCCTAAGGGCTAGGCTTACAGGCATGCATCAGCCCCCTCCCCCCGCCCTGGTCTTTTTTTTTTTTTCCTTTAGTCTCCTACTTTTTATTCCCCTGCTGAGCCCAAATGACTTATCTCAAACTCACAGCTGACGCAGTGCTCTGCTGGGGCTGGAGCTGGCAGAGGGAGCTCCTCCTGTACTGGGCCAGTCCAGTGTGTCCTGGGCCTCTGTGAGGTCTTGGGGCACTGTCCAGCTCCTGTACGCCTGTTGCATCTCACTTGCTGCTCCACATGCTGCCATGCCATCACAGGACTAAGGTTCTGCATGCTCTGCTCCCTGCACCTGCAATGCCCCTCCCTGGCTTCTGAACCCAGGTAATCCACCCCCTCGTCCCCCAGTGTTTAGCACCTCCCACAGAGCCCTCCCCTGGGCTCCAGAAGGGCCAGCTGCCCTTCTGTTTCCTCCCATGAGATACTGGGCCTCCTTTGCCATCATGCCTTCCTGGACATACTGACTGTGTCTATTTACAGGAGTGTTTGTCCTCCCAAGCCAAGGCACCAGCCCATCTTTGCATCTGTAGTACCTGGCACAGTTGGGCATATTGTAAATGCATAGTAGATGTTTAGTGTTGAATAGGGCCAAGAGAGCACATCCTGAGGAGTGGGTGTGGGCTTCTGTGGCATCCATTCATTCACTCATTCATTAATTCCCTAATTCATTCATCCACACCAGAGCACAAGGAAACTCAACAGGCAGGTGGCTCCAGCCTGCAGGGCTAATGATGACAGCTTCTAGAGGAGGTGCCCTCCCCCCAAGGCCAAGGGTACCCCAGACATTCTTGTGGGAATGACCCCCTTTCACAGCATCCTCCCCGAACCATTGGGCAGAAGTTTTTAGCAGGATATGCATCCCCTCAGTGCAATCCTTGTCTCTGCAAATGTTTTCAGTCAAAGATCTAAGTAAGCAGAGGACTAAACTACAGCGATCCCAGAATGCTCTTCTTTAAAATTGCTGTTTATTTTAAAAAGAAAATTAAAATGGAAAGGTAAATGATTAGTTTAAAATAAGGATGTTTTATGTGAGACAGATCAGCTGAGAAAAGAAAGGCAAAGGAAGGCTTTAGCATCTTCATCTGATACCTTCAAGAACTCCTGTGTGGAGCAGATAATCCGCAGGGTGGGTTCTCTCCCAGGGTTTGAACGTAAAGGAGAAACCCACACCGTGGTGAGGTCTGAGGAGGAAGATTCCAGACAGGGTGAGCTTTCTGGTGATGATCAAAAGGAAACGTGTAAACAACATCCCAAAGACCCTCATCGTTTTCAGAACTACTTACTGGTCTCTTATGTTTCTAGCACAATTCTATATCTAGAAAAAAAATGGATTTTTAACATCTTAATTTTCTGTCTGGTCCTTAAATTTAAATAATTTTAGTGGACATAACTGTACATGCTTATGGAGTACCGTGTGACATTTTGATACATGTATTTGCTGTGTAATTCCCAAATCCGGTAATTGGCATATCCACGGCTTCACATCCATTATTTCTGGTTCTGAATCAGAAGACTTGAGTTACATTGTGTAAGATGACAGTGACCCCACAAGTAATACAAGTAAGCGGTGCATTCATTGACCTGTTCCTCTGTCCCAAGAACTGTCAGCACAGCACAGCCGGGGGGCACTGTGAGCGCTGCAAGGATGGTCACTACAGGAATGCTGCCCACGGACCCTGTAGGGCCTGCCCATGCCCTCACACCAACAGGTATGGCAAAGCTTCAAATTAACCTGTGAGACGGGAAGCAGTCTGGGGGGGCCGAGAACCGAGGGTGGGCAGAGGGGTCTGAGGAGGAAAGTAGCTGCCTAAGGGTTCCTGGGGTTTCCCTCCGGGGTGATAAAACACTGTGAACGTGGGGATGGTTGTACAGTCTGTGGCCATACTAAGCCGTCGAATCATGTACGTTACATGGGTGAATTGCATGGTATGCAAATCATATCTCTATAAAGCAGTTATAGTTTTAAAAATGAACAAATACAACATGAAAGAAAAATCAGACACACATAACAGCAGTCTTACTAAGTTGTGTTCTTCTGGGGTTTTCCTTTGCTTTTCTTTTGCTGTTCACTCAGTGCCTAAACATATATGAGGCCAGTCTACTTGCTGGGGAAGCTGTATGTGTGTGTAACGCATACACAGATAAATCAGAAGTGGAGTTTCAGATGGAGTGGGGGATTCTGAGCATTCCCTGGTTGGTCGTGAGGGAGGGGTTGTGTTCAAGGGTGGCCAGGGATGCCTGGGGCTGTTGAATGGGGCCTGGAATCATCGGTCTGCTCCATCGAGTGGATTCAGCCATGAGGCCCCAGAGGGGAAAGCCCCTCTGAAGATGTGTTCAGGGCCAGGCAGGAGAATGTGACCTAGCCGGGCCACTTTGCCCATCACACAATAATGTACTGAAATGGCAGTTTTGCAGAGGATTTGTTCACGAGCAGACATGCTTGGAGACAGGAGAACAAGTTTCAGATTCTCTTCCCTGAGGACAGGCTTTAGGAATCTTTATGGGATTTAAAAAGGAGGGTGATTGAGTGCATGGGAAAAGATGATTGGAGCTGAGGGAAAGAGGCATCATCAATGAGCCACGTGACATAATTAATCCTAGCTCTCCACCGAAGGCCTGTTTAGGAAATGCCAGTGTTAGCATGATGGGAGGTGAAGTTTTTTAGCCCCTGATGCTAACAGAGTCACTCAAAGAGGACATTTGCACAGGCCCAAGAGCTGGCCATTTCAACAAAAGCGGCCTTCAATTCTCTGAGAAGTCACTAACATCATCATCAAGACCTATGGGACCGAGAGTCTTCCTTACAGGAAAGCTAGAGGCGGGCTAATGATGTATCGCTCAGCGGGGTAACCTCCAAAATCAGTGATTCTGAAAATCAACTCAAAGAAAACTAGAGGATTTATTTACCTTTACCCCCAGTTCCCAGAGCACTGGAGAGGCGGGGAGAGGGTCAGCCTGGGCTCAGACCCCGGCCCCCTTGCAGGCTGGGTCAGGTGTTTGGATTTCCGCCTTAGTGTGACAGAAGCCGGGGGACAGTTCTGAGTCTCAGTGACATGGTCTGAGCGGTCACAGAGGCTCTGGTGTGGCCAGTAGACTCCGTACCCAGACAGAGTCTCACCCAGCATTTTCTTTTCAAGGTGATCCCCATCCCGTTCAGGTATGAACTGGCACCTTGTCACATGCCTAGGGCTCATCATGACTGTGTTCATCATGGGGTCCAAGCAGAGATCGGTATAATAGACAACCAAGTGAAGCAGCAGTTAGTTTTAAAGCCCCACAGGCTCAGAAACAAGAATGGACCAAAAGGCAGATTGCCATCAGCCCCATGTCAGACAAATTGGCCAGGTCCTAACAGCTCCATGAATTACGAGCCCAAGCACGGCTTTTTCTGGAGCTCCATGTTGGACGTGTTGGCCCTGCCTTGCTATGTATACCATGTGTTACCTGCTTGGCCTGCCTGGTCCTGCAGCTTGATTTGTTCTGGGATCTGTCCCTCCATGCCTGCCCAGACTTGCTCCTACAGAAGCTGGCAAGAGTCGAAAGCAGCAAGAATTCCACTGGGGTGCTCGAGAAAGAGAGTTCATGTTTGGTTGCAAAGTGCACCGATATCATCAAGGTTGGCTTCCAGCTTTGGTGAAGTTGCAGTAACAGTTTCTTGGATTTATCAGGAAAACTATTTTTTTTATCAAATTGTCCTTCCAAATTGCAATAGCAATACTGCTGACAAATTTCTAATGGTCCCTGTACAATTATAGCATCTTTATTTTTTTTGGTATCAAGGATCGAACTCAGGTCCTTGCGCTTGTGCAGCAGGCGGCAGAACTACTGAGCTAAATCCCCAGCCAATACAGCATCTAATACAACAAGGGTGACTTCTCAAGTATGAATTCTCTTACTAGCAAGTGATAAATGGAGCCATTTCCCCTCTGATTTATGTCACTATAACGTTCATCCCATGGACCAGATTTTCATGAGGCGACTGGGCTTTTTCATGGTCTCTTTCTTGGGTTGGGGGAGATTCTCTTCTCAGGTCAGTTTAGAGATAAAAGAAACGAAATCAAAATTCCATAACTTGGTTTGAAAAAGTGTGAAAATGGCCAAGGACGGTGCCCACAGAAATACCAGGGCACTGGGCTCCTGTGGGGTCCGTGGGCCTGCCCTCCCTGCTGGCAGTGTGTTCAATGTAAAAGAAAATTACACAGGGAGAAAAAATTTAAAAAAGAATCAGAGCTCTCTGTTCTTTTTTTCCTGTCTGAACTTGTTGTATTCCTTCCTTGTTATTCCTGCAAAAATGCTGTTGTAATCATGTCTTCCTCAGTGAGTTCCTTTGCTCCATCTCAGTGCGTTTCTCCCAGCCAGAAATAGAACAAACACCTTCAGTCCGTATTATCTGCATCTTGCGCCCCTGTCAGCTGCAATGATTCGACCTGAGCTCTACAAGTCTTGAGGGGCAAGATTTTCTTTACAGAAAAATTTCCTCACAATGGGTTTCCATTTTCAGTTAATGCAAACCAGCCCTTTGTGGTTAAAAAAAAAAAAAAAAGGAAAGGGCCGGGGATTTAGCTCAGTGGCGCTGCGCAGGTCTCGAAAGCGCAAGGACCTGAGTTCGATCCCCGGCACCAAAAAAAGAGCATAAAGCCTGTGGATTTGTGTTTTGACTGTGGCTTTTTCCTGTTTCCTTTTAAGTTTTGCCACCGGCTGTGTTGTGAATGGCGGAAACGTGCAGTGCGCCTGCAAACTCGGATACACAGGGGTGCAGTGTGAGAGGTGGGTGTGGCCTCCTGAAGGGGGGGGAAGGGCGGGGCCCAGAGGAGGGTGTGGCTGTTCCTTTATCCAGGACCGGGAAAAGGTCTCCTTGGGAAAAATACAAGACTGTTCACTTGATAAATCATTAACATCCTACTCTTTCTTCCTTTGTACATATTTCAGAAATCTGAGAACAAGGTTCAACACACACAGAGCACTAAATACCCCAACAGACACCCCATGCACCCCAATTCCATACTCATCCCTGCATGCCTCCTCCCCAACTACCCCCTCATACACCTACCCCTGATCTTTACATATCTTCCCCTCCCAGGGATAGCCCCACATAACCCCTGTCCACATCCCTACTATTCCTGCTGCCCCCCCAACCCCTCTACCATATATTCTGAACTATCCTCGCCCATGAATGTTCCTGCATACTCCCATCCCCTGCACATTCCTGACCCGGCATATGCATATCTCTGCCCCTATGGGCACATAGCCTTATCAGTACACACATACTTTATACACTCCTGAATGCACGCACCCACAGATACACACACACACACACACACACACACACACACACACACAC